ACCCAATCACTGGTTCAGGGGGTCCTGACCAAACTTCAAACCTCTCTATCTCGGTCACATCGAAGTCGATTGGGCAGATTTTTGGACGAATCGATTGCTCTCCTCGAGCTCTCGAGAAAATGCCGAAGAACTAGCGTCAAACCGTTCGATTACGCGCACATTGAAGTCGGGTTGAAGATTTGATTTCCACACAGGTTCGAGTGGCGCGGGCCGGGCGCCGCGGAGCGCGGGAGCCGGCTCTTCGACCTCGCGTCGTCCGTCGTCGACAACGGCTTCCGGCTCGCGCGGGCCTGCTGCGACGCGCCGCGGGACGTCCTCGACCGCGACTGGCTCGGCGGGCCGGGCCAGTGCCTGGAGGCGCTGTTCGGCGCGGGCGACGAGGCGCGGTGGGCGACCGCGGTCGTCCGCCTCGCGGCGGCGGCGAAGAAGATCGCCGCGGGCCAGCCGGGCCTCGTGCGGGCGCGCCTCCCGACGAAGATCTTCGGCGACGTGCACGGCCAGCTCCGGGACCTGCTCGTGCTCTTCGGCAGCTTCGGCTTCCCGTCGCACAAGCGCGGCGGCGACGTCGAGCTCTGCAGCTACGTCTTCAACGGCGACTACATCGACCGGGGCACGCACCAGTGCGAGGTCGTGGCGCTCCTCTTCGCGCTGAAGGTTTTGTACCCGACGCGGATCTACCTGCTCCGGGGCAACCACCTGTGTGGATTCCAACCACTGGTTTGGGAAGTCCCCACCAAACTTCAGAACTCTCTAGCTCGGTCACATCGAAGTCGATTCGGCTGATTTTTGGACGAATCGATTGCTCTCGTCGAATTCTCGAAGCACAGCGAAAGAGTCTGGTCCAAATCGTTCGATTACGCGCACATTGAAGTCGTGTTGAATATTTGATTTCCACACAGGCAACCACGAGTTCAAGGCGACGTCCGAGAACATGAAGCAGGACAGCTTCCTCGCGGCGGTGGCGCGCACGTTCCCGGACCACCCGGAGGTCTACGATGCCTGTTTTGATGTGTTTGCGTTCCTGCCGCTGGCCGGGCTCGTGGGCGACCGCATCCTGGTCGTCCACGGCGGCGTCGGCGACGGCTCGTGGTCGCTCGAGGACCTCAACGACATCCGGCGGCCGCTGGCGTCGCTGGGCGGCGAGGAGGCCTGGGTCACGCAGGCCCTCTGGTCCGACCCGTCCGACTCCGACGCGGACATGCGGCGCGGCGTCCACAACTCGCCGCGCGGCGCTGTGTGGAATTCAACCACTGGTTTGGGTGGTCCTGACCAAACTTGAGAATTCTCTAGCTCGGTCAAATCGAAGTCGATTCGGCTGATTTTTGGACGAATCGATTGCTCTCGTCGAGTTCTCGAAGCACAGCCGAAGAGATTGCGTCAAAACTATCGCATACGCTCACATTGAAGTCGGGTTGAAGATTTGATTTCCACACAGGCGCGGCGGCAAGATCGTCACCTTCGGCCCGGACGTCACGGAGAAGTTCTGCGACGACAACGCGGTGGACGTCGTCGTGCGCTCCCACCAGTACGTCCGCCACGGCTACAAGTACATGCACGGCGGCCGGCTCGTGACCCTCTTCTCCGCGCGGAACTACTTCGGCAAGGAGCGCAACGACAGCGCGATCCTCCTCGTCGCGCGCGACGGCTACGGCCAGATCCGCATCCGCCCCAAGCGCCTGCCGGCGCTGGGAGCCGACGGCGCCGACTACCCGAGCCTCGCCTCGCAGACGTGAGCCTAAAATTCGCACCATGTGGAGCTTATGTGGAGTCGACGAGCCTTCGACGGCCGTTGAAGGCCTCGTTGAAGGTGCACGTGAGTGGGCGAGGCTTTTGTGCATTGGACACAGCCTTGATCAAGCTCTGATCGCACCGCCTCGTGCTTTTCGCACCTTCATTACCTCCTCGTGACTCCCGCTCGCACCTCATTACCTCCTCGACACTCCCGCTCAACTCCTCGACGCCCCGCACAGCCGCCATGCAGACGATCAACCTCAAGATCACCAAGAAGATGAACTGCGGCTCCTGCAGCGGCACGGTGCGCGCGACCCTCGAGGAGCTCGACTTCGTCGTCTCCGCCGCCGTCGACCTCGAGACGCAGACGGCCACCGTCGAGGTCCAGGACGGCGCGTGCAAGTGCGTGAAGAAGGACGACGGCAAGTGCCCCTGCGGCGCCAACTGCCAGTGCGCCCAGGCGGCCATGCGCTCGGCGCTCAAGGCGGTGGGCTACACGTCCGAGGTCACGAACTGCGGCGCGAGCGGCGCGGGCAAGCCCTGCCCCGCCCAGGCGCTGGGCACCTGCACGTGCGGGCCCGACTGCCAGTGCGGCGACAACTGCGACTGCGCGTCGTGCCCCGCCAAGTGCGGCGAGAAGTCCGTCGCGTGCCCGGCGCAAGCGCTCGGCACGTGCACGTGCGGGCCGAACTGCCAGTGCGGCGACAACTGCACCTGCGCCTCCTGCCCCGCCAAGTGCGGGCAGCAGAGCGCCGCCTGCCCGGCCAAGGCCCTCGGCACGTGCACCTGCGGCCCGAACTGCCAGTGCGGCGCGGACTGCGCCTGCGCGTCGTGCCCGGGCAAGGCGACGAAAGTCGCGGTCCCGGACGTCCTCGTCAAGGTCGGCGCGGCGCTCGCGCTGCTGACCATCGGCTTCATCGCCGGCCGCAAGCTCAAGCTCTAGGCGCCTCGATGAGATCCGCCCCGCACCCCCGTCGCTGTTTACGACATCACCCGCGCTTATCCCGGTCCTTGTCCTTCTCGCGCGCGAGGACCTCGAGGGCCGTGTCCCGGGGCGCGAGCGACTCGCGGTGCCGCCGCGCGAGGGACGTGAGCGGCCGGCCGTCGGCGGCGGCGTCCGCGGGCCGGTCGTTGCGGTGGGACCAGCCCGCGCCGGCGGACGCGCCGGCTCTGTCCTTGGTGTAGCCCGTCGACAGCGGCGACACGACGGACGCGAGCGCGGAGAACGGCGGCGGCGGCGCGGCCGCGGCGGGCCGCGGCGACGGGTTCGCGCGCGGCGGCGGCGCGGCGGCTTCGAGCGCTCGCTTCTCGAGCTTGCGCGCCTGCTTCTTCTCCTTCTTCGCCTCTTTTTTCAGGCGCTTCTTCGCCTTCTTGAGCTCCTTCTTCTCGCGGCGGAGCTGCTTGGCGGCGCCGTCGGAGGAGCTGGAGGAACTGGACGAACTGGAGGAACTGGACCGCCGGCGCTTCTTCTTTTCGTGCTTGCCCATGACTTATGCGCGATCGCTGCGATTGTTAGCGACCACTAGAGGGCGTCAGAGGCTTGCGCTAGAGGGAGAATCGATGCCCATCGCGCAGCACTCCAGCTGCAACCAGTCGGAGGTGAAGTGGCAGAATAAATCCAGCGCATCGGCGAGCAGGCATGGCGCGCAAAGCTTCCACGCTCCTGGCGCTGGCGAACGTGGCCTCGGCCCTGTCCGCCGTGCCGCGCAGCGGCCTGTCCCTGACCAAGGCCCTGGCGCCCGAGCTCCTCGACTTCGGCGAGGCGAGCTCGCGGGACGCGGCGGACACGAAGGTGCTCAACTTCGCGAGCCCGTCGGAGATCGAGGCGGCCTTCGCCGGCGCCGGCGTGCCCATCGGCCTCGACGGCGCCGCGGGCCACGAGGACGGTCACCTGCTCACGGCCTGCCGCACGGCCCTCGAGTACTCCGTGAGGACGCGGCACCCGCTGTTCCTGAACCAGTTGTACGGCGGCGTCGACGACGCGGCGCTCGCGGGCGAGTGGCTCGTCGCGGCCTGCAACACGAACGCGCACACCTACGAGGTCGCGCCCGTGTTCACGCTCGTGGAGCGCGCGGTGATCAAGCGCGTCGGGGAGCTCGTGGGCTGGGAGGGCGCGTGCGACGGTCTCACGACGCCGGGAGGGTCCGCGTCGAATCTCTACGGCATGCACATGGCGGCCCACGCGGCGGACCCGGGCCGCCGCACGCGCGGCGCCGCCGGCGGGCGCGCGCTCTGCGCTTTTGTTTCGGCGGACGCGCACTACTCGTATTTGAAGGCGTCGCGGATCATGGGGTTGGGCGACGACAACCTCGTCTCCGTGCCCGTGGACGCGGGCGGCCGCGTGCGCGGCCCGGCTTTGAAAAAGGCCATGGACGACGCGCGGGCCGCGGGCAAGACGCCCTTCTTCGTCGGCAGCACCGCGGGCACGACCGTCCGCGGCGCGTTCGACGACCTCGAGGAGGTCCAGGCCGTCGTCGACGAGTGCGACGAGCCCGTGTGGCACCACGTCGACGGGTCCTGGGGCGGCGCGGCGCTCTGGAGCCCGGCGCTGAAGGCGACGTGGCTCGCGGGCGTCGAGAAGGCCGACTCCATGGCCGTGAACCCGCACAAGCTCATGAACGCGGCGATCTCGTGCGCGGTCTTTGTGACGAGT